ATCACTTAAAATGTTGTCAAGTTTAAAGAGTACGAAGATTAATATAGTAAAAAATGTGTGATTGAGGTTTGTGCGGAGGAAAGATAATTAACTGGAACCACAAATTCTTTACTTAAAAGGAAAAGTGGGAAAGTTAGTGGAACATCCAAAAAATCAAAGTTGACAAAGTTTTAAGAGATGTAGGAAGCAGGAAGTATATGTTCAAAGTTTATTCATAATAGTATAGTTTCAAATGATGGCAAAAATTATTTCAAAAAAGCAAGAGTCAAGGGCAATCGTGGGAAACTTTTAAGGTTTTCTCATGTACTTTTTTACGCGTGCGCATTTGTATGTTGCGGGGGTTCAAGGAATCGAGGGTGACAAGTATGTTTGACTTAAAGTTCGTGATGTACAATGAAAATGAGAAATATGAAAAACTACAAAAAAAATGTTGTCCACAGAGTCTTTAACGATTTGTAATTTGTATGCTTATTAAACTTCTAATATTTGTTGTGATTTATTTATGATTTCTTTCATTCGTGGGATAAGTTATGATATGATTTTTAAATGTTTTGAAATAAATGCGTATTACATCTCATACAACGCACGGATGAAATAATACTTTAAACAACATGACTCCTTTACAACATGACATAACAATGCATAACATAAGTGATCAGAACATAACAGAGTTGAACATCCAGAGGCGAGCAAATCATATACTCGATACGAAGTATCAAATTTCATTTGGGCTTTAATTTAATAAAGGGAAAACTGTCAAATAGGTCCTCGAGCTTTCATAAAAAAGTCAATTAAGTCCTTATTTCTGAGGCTCTGTCCGGCCTTCGCGATTTGGGATGATTCCCGGTGAAATTTTTTGAGCGTCTTATTCATCAAGTCTAGTTTACTCATACCAAATTTCAGCTAAAACTTCAATCGAGAACGCATTCAAATTAATTCTTGAAGATAACTGTGCAGTTAAATGAGCAGTTATCTTCAAGAATTAATTTGAATGCGTTTCTGATTGAAGTTTTAGCTCAAATTTGGTATGAGTAAACTAGACTTGATGAATAAGATGCTGAAAAAAATTCATCAACAAATTCCACCAGGAACCGCCCCAAATCGCGACGGCCGGACAGAGCCTCCTAAATAAGGACTTAATTGACTTTTTTATGAAAGTTCGAAGACCTATTTGACAGTTTTCCCTTTAATAAATTTATTAATAAGTCTTAACTTACGGGAATGGACCAAGACATGGGATAAGGAAAATTAGTCTCCATCGCTAAACCCACCTCTTTAAATAGAGAGGTTCACCATGTTTTTTTATACATGCTAGCATATCACAAGAGAATCATAATTTAGGGATGTGCACGACTCTTGAAAATGAATTTTGGAATGGTTTGCCAAAGGGTCCAAAAGTATGAACAAGAGTACTAATCACGAATTCTAGGTAACAAAAAAATTGTGTTTGGTTTCCACAGTCTCTAAAGATGCTTCTCAAACTCTAGCTAGGCATGACACTCCAGATAGGCTTTGGCAACCATCACAATTTATTGTTGTTTCTTATCATCAAAATCAATTTACTCAGAGAAAGAATAATCAAAGTTGTTCTATATTTCTTAATATTGAAGATATTTTTGGCTTGTCATCTGCCATGTCAGTACAATGGCCTTGGCCATCTATGGTTTTTCAGCACAATGGCCATGTCACATATTCCGCACCATTCACTGGCTATTCCATATCATCTAATTTAGGTGTGCTAAAAAATGTATAAAATTTCCGGAGTTCTTAGTATTGAACCCACTACCATACACTAACAACACATGTTTTGCATTGTTAAGCTAACTCATTCACCTATTACAAGCTCTCCCTTATGATAATTTCAAGTATACAGATATTAAGTTCAGGAACGTAGACTACGTAGTAACTTAACTCATGTATTACTTGTTTGTGTAAAGATATACGGAGTATTACTTCTTCCTCAAACAATTATAAAATATTATAAAAACTTAATTTTAGATATTGTTTAAAAAACCGAATTCAAAATATACTACAGAGTAATAAACTTTATTTGAGACATGAATTAAAATATTAAAAATAATCAACACAATAAAATAAAAATAAATAAAGGGAAAGAACCTGAAATAGGACTAAAACAATTTGAAAATTTCAAAATAGGACTGCTATGTTTTTATTCCCAAAATAGGAGTAATTACTGTCAAGTTTGGAAAATACTGCCATGTTTGAAGTCTGGTACTGTCAAAACATGATAGTAATTAGTCTTATTTTGAGAATAAAAACATGGCAGTCATATTTTGGAATTTTCAAACCTTTTTAGTCCTATTTCGGGTAATATTCTCATATATAAATCATTGTGATGCTTAAAAATTATACTAAAGGGAATTTGATATCTCAAATGGAGGAGGCAGTGGTTAATATGAAATGCATTGTTAAGGATAATGTAACCATTTCATCCCTTCTCTTTAATGATGATCTTATTAATTTGTGATATATTTCTGCAGCAGAACAATTTTCGTGGAGTATTTGTATGAAGGAGGTCTGTCAAGAGACTTCAAAGGGGACCTTAGCTATAGTAACTGAGGAGTTTGATGTTCATCCAACGGGTATTTTAGAGATTACTCAGAAATTTGTGTCTCGTAAACGATCTAGCAACTCCTTATTGAAAATTTACATGAAGGATTTCTTGTGGGGCGATCTCAGAAAAATGTTCTCCACCTCTACTTGTTCTCACACGCTCACGAATCGATCATTTGTAGATTTCTTGCTTACACTCCCTCTTATCTCTCCATACACAATATGAATTTGTAGATACATGTACAAGTATATTTAGTTTCACCGCTTCTACTAGTCTTAGTAATGAGAGGAAAAGGGGTTTTCTGCAGACCATGACCCAATATGGTTCAAAATCTCTATTTTGAAATGGATGTATTAATCTTATATTTCAAATTTAATGATCCAAATTGCTTAGGCATGTGACTCTGTAGGTTAATACCACGTTGAAAGTGAGCCAAATAATTATTTCAGTCATACCCATAAATCATAAGCAGTCTCTAGCAAGACATTGTGATCACCAAACTTTATACAACTCTTTCTCAATGTTCTCTCTTGTTCACGCTACTCCCACAAACACATACCACACACCCACAACATGTAGATATTTCATTTTGTGTTTCTACCCTTTTGTTAAATGTAAATCATCCCGACTTCGTTGAACTAATCATGTGCTCTTAAGAACCTGCCCTTGACCCTTGAGAGGGTAATCACGGGTAGCTTGAACATTCATCATGTTTTCAACATCGTATGTAGATCTCCAAATATAAGAAATCGTTCTCAAATGTTCAATTACGCACGTCCATTGGATCTTAGCGCAGCCCATGAGATAATCGCCACTAGATAATCATTAAACATCGTTAGGTTCTTACCATATAGCTAGAACGCACACTCGCGGTTGAATAGAGACAAATTTTTATTACGCAAGCCCTCAAGTAAATTTTGGAATGGACTAGAAGATCATTATTGGGAAAACCTACCTCCTGAAAAATCACTTTGATGACTTAAATTCAAAATCGCACACAACATTAGGGACTTAAGTGTGAGGTTTGATCCATTTGACCACTCTTGCTTGTCCATCACATGTATTCATAGCGTTAACTAAAGAATGTATGGAACACAATAGTGTTCCTAGATAAAAGGTGGTAGGTGTGTTTGTCGATTCTATTTCACCGGTTTCATTTTTATCGGTCCAACTTTTAGTCGGTCTGTCTTAGGAAAGGTGAAAGTCACAAACGGACCACACAATTTGAGTCGATTGCAGTCGGTTTGCACCGGTTCGGTCGGTTTTAGTAAGTTTTTTTTGGTTTTTTTTTACTCCAAGGGTAGTCTGGGGAGGGGGATTTGGGGGGCCTGAAGTAAATTGGGCTGAAACTCACTCCATTGAGTTTCGAACCCGGGACCTTCCATATGGGAGAGTGAGTCGGCGACCAGCTGAGCTAGACCGCTTCCTCTGTTTTAGTAAGTTTTTGTCTATTTTTGTCGGCCAGTTTCAGTTCAGTCATATATTCTGTGGTGATCTGAACTGATCTAATACTACGTATAAGCCTGTCAATGGGTTGGATACGGACTAGAACTATAAATTCCATATCCATATCCATTGAAATTTTTTTGGTCCAGATCCGGACCCATTTACCCTTGGGGTCCTAAACATATGTTCCAGATTTGAATGCGGCGGGTCTCGGATCCTGACCAGGTATACCCGTAAAAAAAACTAAATGACATATACAAACAAATATAATATATAACAAAAATGTTAATGTTGGAAGAGATCATATATAAATAACCAAAATGTTGTTCTATCCATTACTCCGTATGAACTATACAATACATACGAAGTACGTTATATGTATATTAGTGAACTCATAGAGAACCTAACGCACTAACTCATTAGCGAAAATTCCATTATAGTGAGCCAACCACTAAATAAGCCTACAAATATTAAAACATTTTTTTATATTTGATTATTTTCCTTATTTTATATTTAAATATTTCTATGTATATTGTGTGTGTATATGTAAAAAATTACTCCGTATAACTATAATTATATCATCGCGGATCGGGTCCAAAACGGGTCGGAACTTAAAAATCCATATCCGGCCCATTTTCTTTATCATTTAATGGGTTCGGATCCGGATGCGGGAAACGGTTCTAAATTTAGACCCATACGCTCAAATAAAGTGCCGGATTCGGATCGAGTCCGGGTCTAGACCTGACCCATTGACAGGCTTAACTACGTAAATGTATATTTTCGTGTAGTTTAATTAATTCAGTGAGAAACCGAAATGAATTTAATTAAAAACATTTTACACATTAGTATTATATTACAGGTATCCGTCAATGGTTAAGTACTTGATTACTGTACAACATTCTCCACTACAAAATCTTTTGATAGAGGGCTTAGAGTTTTAATGGAATACTGTATATGAAACAGAAAAAATTAAGCACATGTGATATAAACCCAGAAAAGAACTTCCGATTAATAAACTAATAAATCCTCATCCGTGACCACTTAAGTAACGGCGTTTGTTCATATTTCTACACAGTACTTTCTTAAGCTTAACAAAATCTTCAACATAAACAAAACTGAACCCAGCACCAAAAAAACAAAGGCATAGACATTACACAGTACTATGAAGTAATCAAAATATCTAATGGACTTTTAATTCAAAGAGCCACCAGAGGGTCCGACCCGAATATATCCCCAAAATCTTGATAGTAACTGTCAGCCGTCCAGGCGTAGGACTCTAACCCGAATTGCTGGCTTGACCCGATGAGTGTGTCATTGTAGGCTTCGTGGATAACACTGTTACAGAACCCCATTTCGTCGAACAATCCGGGTACGGGTAACGGGTCGTAGAAATCGAACACGTCCGCCGGAAACAGGGTCTCAAACGGCGAAAAACAGGGTGGAGGACTCTCCGGCGCGGCGGTGCTGCAGCTGCTGTCTTGATTAACTTTCACGGAGCCGGTTTCGGCTTCGGCTTCCTCATCGTTGGAAGCTGAGGTAAATCCCAGGACGGACTTGGGCGAGCGGCGGTTGTGCGATTCCATGCCGGAATTGTAGCCGGAGTCGGGGTCCGGCTTGACCGGACCAGGAGGTGAAACAGAGTCCGAGAAGTTCGTAAGCGCGTCCGGTCCACGCAACTTGATGGCCGCGTGGTCATAAACCATCGCGGCTTCTTCGGCAGTGTCGTAGGTGCCCAACCAGAGACGGACACGTCTCATCGGATCTCTGATCTCGGCCGCCCATTTCCCCCACGGCCGTTGCCGAACTCCCCGATATTTCCGCCCATTTTCAACATTCCCGCTCTGACCGTTCGCCGCGGCTGCGGCTGAGGCTGGAACGGCGCTCCTCTTCCGCCGCTTTGCTCCCTCCGGCGATGCATTACTCCTCAAACCCCCACTCGCATTGCCGTCGTCCCTTCCGACCATGATCTCCGTCACATACCGCTTCACCCGCCGCTTCCCAAAACCGGCCTCCGTCTCATCGTCAGAGGAATCGGTGGCATCCCCATCAGTAACCGAAATCCGCACAACTCTGGGCAGGGCTCCTCTGCATCTCCCGCCGGACTGGGGCGGCCTCGCCACCGTGACTTGCCGGCGGTGCTCACTGAACCTGACACTACTGGACGACAACATGGTTTGGGTCTGGTCAATTTCTTCCCCTCGGATTCTCATATTTATTTTGTGGATGGGAAAAAAAAAAGAGGCCCAAGATTCGGAAGAATAAAGAGAAAGATAAGAGTGTGTGATAAAGAGACCAAAGGCAAGAGCTTTGCAGCCAAATGGCTTTAGCTTTAGATAAAACTATAAGAAAGTTTGAGGAAAGTGACACAAAAAGAAGAGATTAAGCAAGTCCCAGCAGAGAGAGTGAGGAGTGCAGAAGAAAGAGAGACCCACCCTCCCACTTGTGTGTTCAGAAAGATGGGAAAAGGGAAAAAATTTCTCAACAAATTGGAAAAGAATTGCTCCAAGAAATAAAGCAGATAGGGATAACAGAGAAAAGGGAGACTGGAGGAATAAGTGCTTGTTTTGTGTGTTTATATCAATTGCTATTTTCAGCAAAAGCAGTTTGATGGATGTGCTGAAGCTTTTTCCCTTTTGAGATTTGGAGAAAAGATCTATCTATAAAGATTTTCAAACAAATATTATATTATAATGATAACTCAAATGGCAAAGATTGAGTCACTTAGTCTAAAACTGAACTGATTAGTAAGAGAGGCTGAAACATATGGTTAATCCTGTTTTATAGGACCCTGGGGTGGGGGTGGGGTGAGTGAGAGGCTTACTTAGTTTAGTAGCCCCACTAAAACAAAATTGTGTACGGAGTGGATTCATGAGTGTTACCTAGAATATTTATTATGATTTGTAATGTATCTGTTACTATGAAATGAATTACATGAAGTTTTACCAAATATCTTAGCTAAATATTATTTTTATTTAATATTATGACAAATACTATCTTATTGAATTTGTCTATTCAAAAAGATACCATACATTTAGTGGGTAGATACAGTTGTTCCTACACTACTCCGTACTGAGTAATAATAATTTCCTTCTAATAATAATGGTGAGTGTACTACACATTATGTGAAACCGGATAAACCATGAATTGTTTCCCCTTTTTCACTGTTTTTCTTTTATCCAAAACATTTCAAGATAGTACTTTTTTGTTCAAAAGTATTTTTGCTCTCGCGATGATTGAACTGTCACTTTTTGTGTATTTTTAAGATCTTGTGGCACTATAATAGGTAATCTTTTGTGGCAAAAAAATTACTGGTACACGTCTTACCTTTTGTGTCTCTCTTAAGTACGTAGTACAGGGGCACTACATTGAAGAAATACCATAAGAAAAGAAAGTACTTCCTCCGTCCCGATTTGATGAGATTTACGATGCTCGACTGATGATAAAGAAAATGGATTTCTGTCCGCACTCAAATTATTTTTAGAAAAAAGTACTTAATCAGAAACTATATTAGAAACTTTACAAAGTCGCAAAAATCAGAATCAAATTTGATAAAAGTTTGATAAACAAAGTAAGAGATTAAAAGTGATTTGTATTAAACAAGTGAATATGAACTTGTACCATCAAATTGGGACGGGGTAGTAATATCTTATTTTACAATGGAACATAATATCTTATACTACAATGGAACAAACAACAAAAGGCAGAGGGAATGTGAGTTAAAATTGAAATATTGATCATTCATGAGCCAATTTACATGTTCTTATTTGAAAAAAGGAGTTCTACAAATGGGCTTTAAACAATTAACAAAACTACACACTTTACCTTAAAGAAAGTGTCTATTTAGATCATATGTGAGCTTTTAGAAAGCAAAAGTATGAGACATATTCTAAAAAAGTTATAACTACATATTACTCGTATAAATTTTTGCACCGAAATCATGATAGATGTGAAGGAACAAAAAAATAAAGTTCAAATGCGATATATGGGCAAAGTCCTCTATGAGAAAAGGCATACTTAGAACTAATTTGATCACTCTATTAGAACTATAGTTTAAAGCAAAACTTTTTGTATATTATTCCCCAAAAAGCAAGATGTCACCTATTCAAACACCATCTGGTTCATGTTGTCCTGCGTCATCCCATATATTTATGCCTATGCGCTTAACATTATTATCGGTGTAAAAAAAACAATATTATCATTGAGTATTAATACTTCTATAGTTTGTTTCATACTCTCACTTTTTTGGTAGAATGGTAATTGGTAAAGACATATTCTCACCTTTAGACCATGTGTGACCAGGGGCGGAGCTAGGGGGTGCCCAGGCTAGGCCCTGGCCCACCCCAAAATTGAAAAATGTCAATATTTTTAGTGTAAAAAATTTCGTGTAAATTTTTCCCCAATAATATTCTTTGTACCGGCCCAGTCTAGCCCAGTGTCCTGGCTACGCCCCTGTGTGTGACATTATGAAGTTTTTCACATACTTCAAAACTTTGGAATCTATAAATGTTGGCTTTGGGACGTTCAGCTCACGTTATCCCTCCAGAATGTCAAACCATGAAAGGTAATAATAATATTATTATATTCTTGTTAGGTTCATATGAATACGAGTATTTATTTATATACTACCTCAGTACCTCCGTTCCCCTATTATTGTCTCACGGTGGTTTACAATGTTTGATCGACGATAAAACAAACAGATCAATTGAACAGGAACTGAGACAATAGTATAGGGGGAGGGAGGGACTAATTAAGACTAAAAATAGGACTAAAAAGTGGCAAAATTGCACAAATAGGACTACATTTTTTAATCCCTTAATAGGACTATTTATGTGTGTTTGGACAAATATTGTTAAGACCCGGGGTTCCATCCTAAAAGGTCAACCTGATAGGAGGAGTAGCCCAAAGCCTTATATAGTGTTCAATTGTTTTATACCTTTCCAGTGTGGGACAAATGCTTTTACACGCCCCCTCAGCCCGAACCGGGTTGGACAATATCGGGGTGTATAAACGGGCCAAACAAACCCTTAACAAGCTACCCTTAATCATGGGTGATAAACAAGCCGTCAAACCACAACCGGAATTGACTCTGATACCATGTTAAGACCCAGGGTTCTATCTTAAAAGGCCAACCTAATAGGAAGAGTAGCCCAAAGCCTTATATAGTGTTTAATTGTTTTATAGCTTTCCGGTGTGGGACAAATGCTTCAACAAATATACTCTTGTAGCTTGTGAAATGTTTTAATTAATAATAAAATCATTAAAAAATAAAGATAAAAATAAAAAAAAATACAAAATTAATAAAATATTTATAAAAAATACGGAGTAGTTTTTTTTAATTAAAAAATTAATAAAAATCGTAAAATTAAAAAAAAAACATTGCCAACCCCAGCACCACCAACTCCCATCATCGGAGAAAAATATGCCAACATTTTAAATAATGAAAATGTTGGCGTATTGAAGAGTAATTATGCCATCTTTTTGGCATTTTTAGAAAAAGATGACATTTTTTACCAAATGTGGAAGAAATTTCACCAATCGGAGGTGGTGGTGCTGGGAGGCGATGGGAAAGGTATCCATAATTTTTTAATTGTTTTATGGATTTTTACTTTTTTTATTATTTTTAAAAAAAATAAAAAAAAAAACAAAAAAAATTTTACTCCGTATTTAAATGCCAATTTTTTTACTATTTTATAAATATTTTATTAATTTTTTATAATTTTTTTTAGGATTTAAATATTTGTACGCTTTTTTATGATTTTATTATGAATAAAAGCATTTCATTATGAATTAATACCCTTAGGGGTATTTAGGGTAGAAAATCAATGTTTAGTCCTATTTAGGGAATTTAAAAAGTAGCAGTCCTATTTGTGCTTTTCAAGAACTAATTAGTCCTATTTAGGACAATTTCCGTTAAGATTTCTAAACATAATAATGATATCAAATTAAAGACCGATAATCTACCTGAGTAAATATTTTTGACGTAATAGGAATCAATCATATGATACTCGTATAAAATGTGAGATTCTAGTTCATTTTAATTATAGTACTCCGTATTATATTTACAGTTTTTAGGCAAACGACGACGTTCAATTGAACGTGAATCCAGATAAATTGATAGCAGGAATATAATGAAACGATACTCAAAGAGTACATTTTTTACTACGGTGCATATAAGATAATAGGAAAGATTCAAGAAGATATTACTACGTATATTAACTATGGTGTCGCCGGGTTCTAACATTTTATGTGCCCCAACAAAACAAATAGAGTAGGCCTTAAGGACAATGTGTGAATGTAGATTTAGAATAACTTTCTTGATTTAAGAAATAAGAATCTATAAGTAAAATAAAGCATACGGTTAGATTTTTTATTTAAGTACTCCATATGTGATACTGTGTACCTAAATGGCCGAATTAAATCAGTAGTACAACTATTACTTGCAGTAAAGAATTTTAATTAGAGAAAGACATGAAAGATATACTCCGTATCGTATAAGGAGTAACTTTATTAGAGTAATATTAGTATATCCAGGCTTAGCCCAATTGTAATTAATTTAATTGTAATTTATTATGGGCTAAGGGCTCTAGTTATAGTGATATACTTGTATAAATTACCTTCAACATTGGTGAATATACACTAGGGATTTCAACCCATTATTTCCCCTAATACATATGTACAAACTCTGTTTTCATCATGGTATCTGAGCCGCTGCATGCGTAGCGCTGCTCAAGTTTCTTCTTCGACAATTCATCCTGCACCAACATGTATGGACTGAAGAACTATGGTGGATATTACTTCACCATATTATTTAAGCTCCGGTGATCAACCGGGGAATCTCATCACCTATATCATCTTTAAGGGAGATAACTATGTAGCTTGGTCTCGGGCTATATTGTTATCCCTCAAGGCTCGTCGGAAACATATGTCTGTCGATGGTACATTCAAGAAACCGGAGGATGAGGCGCAGCAATCCAACTGGGAGACATCTAATTCCATGGTGGTGTCGTGGCTTCTTCGGAGTATGGAGCTTCTAGTCGCTGCGTCTATACCATTCCACGAAGAGGCCCGAGCTCTTTGGGTCTATTTGGAGAAGAGATATAGTGTTGCTAATGGTCCCAGGTTGCAGCAGTTGAAAGCTTTGATATTGGCCTGCAAACAGACCAAAACGATGACGGTTGATGCCTATTATACAGCGTTAATGAGCCTGTACGATGAACTCGTTCGGCTGAAACCATTGCCGGCGTGTTCGTGTGGCAAGTGTACATGTGATGTGGTTGGGCAAATTGCTACTGAACGGGCAGAGAAACGATTTCATCACTTCCTAATTGGAATTGATGACGACAATTTTGGCACGGTGCGCTCTAATCTGCTCGCTCAGGACCCTCTGCCTACTATTGACCGTGCGTTGTAGGCTTTTCAACAAGAGGAGAACTCCATGTTGATCGCACGAAGCAAGCAGTCCGCAGGTAATGTCCATACTTTTACTCTTCAAGTTGACCGTGCTGCCAAGGGACGAGTGGACAAGGACAAACCCGAATGAACCCGATCGGTGTGTACACATTGCATGCAAAAAGGACATGAAATTGACTCGTGTTTCAAGCTACACGGTTATCCGGAATGGTGTTAGGAACGGAATCGTCCCAAAGGAGGCTCTGCCGGTCGCGGGGGAGGGGTACGGACCCATGTTGTTACTTCAACTCTTCAGCCCACCGGGGAAGGGTCCTCTTCTTCTGCGAAT